TATATATATATATATATATATCTGCCTATTTGCGCATGGCGACTCAAGGTGGCTTACAGGAATATAAAAACATCATATATATATATAAAATAAAACTAATAGAATAAAATAATATAATAATATAATACCTCCCTACCCCGCCGACAACATATCATACGAGCCATTTAATGGGCTCCACCCACTCTGCGTTCCTTAGGCCCGCTGGCAGAACCAGGTCTTCAGTGCCTTCTGGAAGAGTGTTAGAGTAAGGGCCATTCTAATCTCTGGGGGAATGATGTTTTAGAGAGAGGGAGCCACCATGGAGAAGGCCCTTCTTCTGGGTCCCACCAGGTATCCCTTTGAAAAGAATATGGGCATATAATACTTTTGCCTGCATTTCTTATCCAATGTGACCAATACCAGATTTAGAGTGAACTATTTGCCTCATGTAATTGCATTATAACACAAAATGTATACTGGCCTAAACAAAGCTGTTTAAGGGAATTAGATTGCATTTGTAAAAAAGATTTTCTTTGGTGGCATAATTTGTGTAAAGTCTTTTAGATGGAAAATAAGGTATAATAGAATAATGAATACAGGAGCTGTTTGTTCACTTATTTCCTATTATACAAGTCTCCTGCTCCAAAGCAACCTTTCATTTCACATTGCCAGCCAACTTTTGACAAGCAAAGTCAATGGAGAAAGCTGGATTTGCTTAAAGACCATGTGATTCATTTAACAACTTTGATTATTTCCTTAACAACCATTAAAAAAGCTTGTAAAATTGGACACAACTCACTTAACAACCGGCTTGCTGGAAATTCTGTGGTTGTCAGTTGTAAATTGAGGACTATGTGTATGTGTTTTTTTTAATATAAATTACTATTGGCCAGTGAGTGCAAAGTTGGCTCAGATGCTCTAAATATGATCAGAACAACCATCATATTTTTATACATATAAGATCTTACTGATAAGACATCGATATGACATTGACAAGACAAAGATATCACTTCACATATTACAACTTAAAGTTATATATTTAAGAAAAAGTTGCAACATTCAAAAGCATCTGGGAATGTAAGACATGGATAAAGCTTTCATGCAGTGATGTTAGATGTTACTTAACCTGCAATATTAGAATTAAACACAGATACAGACACAGACCACTGTAAATGGTCACAGTTGTTAGAAATGCCTCTGTAATGTGAGTTTATCGGAAATGGAAAAAACAAGCAAGCAAAACAGTAAGCTATTGTTTAATAAATTAATAGTTAGCACTTTCAGTGTTAATATTGACCCCCCAAACCCCTAAACCACATTAAAAAGCATTTATGCTTGCTTTTTAAAAAATAGTTCCTTTTGTCATTTTGTTTCTCACAATAAGATAGACTGTGGACTGTTTGTGTGCCATTCTGGTTTTTCCTAAGGTTTCCTGTGCTTGGTTGATTTCATTTCTGAAAAAAAAAAGAAATGTTTGATGTACATGGTAACCAATTACAAAAAAATTGTAGGAATTACCGGGTTTCTCATATAATAAGGCCGGGTCTTTTTTTTTTTTTTTGAGCCCCGAAAAAATGGCTAGGCCGTCTTTTCGGGGGTGACTTAATTCCCCCCCCCCAGCATCTTTGGGCGGGCGGTGACGGCTTGGATGTTGACCTCGGCGTTGGTGGGGCACTTCATATCGGGGTCAATGCAGGCAGCACCATATCCGGGTGTGCAACAAAAGTACTTCCTAATGGCAAGCCCCCCCACCATTCCCCCCCATTTCGCATGTTTTAATATAGGCCTTAATTTGGGGGGAGGGGCTTAATTTCATTTCATGCCTATAAAACATGCTGGGACTTCCTATTGGGGGAGGCCGTATTGTTGGAGAAACAGGGTACTTTTGCACTATAAGACACACTCCCCCCCCCAAAAAAAGTGGGTGGAAATGTAGAGCGAATGTTGTCGAAGCCCCGCCCACCCACCAGCCCCCACCTCCGGCTTCTGCCTCTCAGCAATTTGCCTCCTTGCAGCAAACAGCCTGGTCAGCTTCAGCACAGTCTGATTTAGCACGAGCAGCTGATTGGCGGTTGGATTGGCCTCCCAGAATACCGCCTATCAGCTGTTCCAGGCTGCGGGGATCACCGCCATAACCGCCCATTGCTGCCGCCACCTATCGCTGCCTCCATGTGCCCCATTTTTGGCCTCTGTGTATCCCGTTTTCAGCCTCCACGTGCCCCATTTTCAGCCCGCTGCCTATCGTTATCTTCGCCATTCACCTGAAATGACCTGAAAATGGGACATGTGGAGGCCAAAAATGGGGTGCGCAGTTGCCAAAAACTGGATGCTCGGAGGCTAAAAGGACACTGAAAAGGGGGCATGCGAAAGCGGCGATATGTGGTGGTGGCGATGGGTGGCGCCGATCCCTGCAGCCTGGAACAGCTGATCGGCAGCATTTTGGGAGGCTGATCCAACTGCCAATCAGCTACTCGTACTAAATCAGGTTGTGCTGAAGCTGACCGGGCTGCTTGCTGCAAGGAGACAAATTGCTGGGAGGCAGAGGCAGATTTTTTTTTCCCCCTCCCCAAAAGCTAGGTGCATCTTATGGTCTGGAGAGTCTTATAATGCAGAAAATACAGTATGTTTTTAAAGCTTTCTTCTAAATATAAAATTGCATGCATTTCCAGGAAACAAATGAAGAGAAATGTTACAAAATTGCAAATGAGCTTTTGCACACTGAAAGAGCTTACGTGAGTAGACTGGCACTCTTGGATCAGGTAAGTGTTTTTTCCACCTCCTTATTTTTGTGTGTGTGAAGAAATGTTTTAATTCTGTATAAGAAGAAATTCTTTTGCTTGAGTCACATGCAATACTAATCCATAATACATTGAAAACCTGGTCTTAGAGTTATGTATGAAATAAGTCATGTACAGGAACGCTTTTTATCTGAATCTGTTTTGAAATTAGCTTGGATTAAGACTAAAACTAAAGCATGTTATGTTTATTTTCTCAGTCTCCAAACATCTACATATCACTCTTTGAAATATGCTATGCATTCCACAATCATTTCATTCTTCCATCTTCATAAATGTATTATTATCTACCAGCGTTTTCCTTTCCTTTAATGTAATAATCCTGGATTATTACATTATTATCAGTAGCTTTTGAAGATCAGCACTCAACTCCAGAGTCAGTAATATAGAAGGCATTGTGTCAAACCTGTGCTGCCAATGGAATTTGCAGGTGTCCTAATTTAAATAATAATTCATTTTTAGTGGAATCTGATGAAATGGCCAAATTGTGAGATACTGAAATTACTGCCAAGATATTGGACAATATTTAATGATTTCTCAAGATATTGTTCATGTATATTTGTAAATTTATACAAGCATATATCCTTGTGGGCCATAGATGGGAAATTAATGTTTTAGATTACATCTTCCTGTGCCATTCTTTCTCTATCGAAAAGAGAAGAGTTATCAAGAATATTTCCTCCACTGTCCCATTTTCTCTCTCTCAGCAAATGGGGTCCATTTTCTTCCTTTGGCAAATGCCAGCCTATGGCTATTGGTCACTCCTAATACCCACGAGAAAATTAAACCACCATTTAATTTTGCAACTAAGAAAGAGAAAATTCATGTTCATCTCCCAGTTGAAATGATGACTAACTACAAAATAATTAAGAATTACTCATATCCCATCAGAATAAAGTTCCATTTAAATTCCACAATCCAAAAATTTTAAATGTCACACAGCCCACGAGGGTTGGTTTTGCTCTCCTGATTCACTAGCCTGTTCTTTTTGTTTACAGTATAACTTTTCTCAGCAACCCAATACTGAATCTGAACATTTTTCATCATGGGAGTCTGTCTTTTGTTTTGCCTTCTCACCTTCGTTCTTTGCATAATTATTTCCCCCCTTTCTTCGGTCATTAGACCATAAATTGAGTTTTGAATGTTTAAAAAAAAAATCTTTGCCAGCTTCTTTTTGTGTTGATTTGGATTTTTCTCTCTGATTCGAAATATAAGAAGCACCGCAGAGTTTATTTTATTTATTTATTTGTTTGTTTGTTTGATTTGCCAATTGTTTACAAGATAATAAGTATAAGTGTATACATAGTTGTGAATACATGAAATGGGTACATATAAGAAAAATAAAAGAAGAATAAGAGAAACAATAGGACAGGGAGGGTAGGCACGTTGGTGCGCTTATGCACGCCCCCTACAGACCTCTTAGGAAAGGGGTGAGGTCAATAGTAGACAGTCTAAGGTTAAAGTTTTTGGGGTTTGGGGAAGAAACTACAGAGTCAGGTAGAGTATTCCAGACATTGACCACTCTATTGCTGAAGTCGTATTTCCTGCAATCAAGTTTGGTTGCCAGTTTTGGAATAGAAATTAGACATATCTTATTACCTTTAAATTTCTAGTGGTTTATTTTGACTACTGTCTTCTTACTGTAGCTGTTGGCTGCACTAATGCATGCAATTCCTTTCAGTTTAATAAGGAGCTGCTTTGCTGTGAAGTGATTTACAAGCCTGGGAGTGGGCAGCCAAAGAAACAGAACAAATTAATAACAAAATAATATTATTATAAAAGCAAGCAGGTACCTAATTTAAGAGCCCTGGTGGTGCAATGGTTAGAATGCAATATTTCAGGCTAACTTTGCCCACAACCAGGGAGTTCAATCCTGACCGGCTCAATGTTGACTCAGCCTTCCATCATTCTGAACTCAGTAAAATGAGGACCCAGATTTTGGGGGGAAATATAGTGACATTTGTAAACCACTTAGAATAGGGGTCACCAACCTTTTGGACCTCAGGGACCACCAAACTCATAATTTTAGATCCCAGGGACCACTAACTGGTTCTGTGGGTGTGGCCTAATTTGTGGGTGTGGTTTGGTGGTCATGTGACTGGCTGGGCATGGCTTGTATGTAAATATTATAAATATTTATAAAAATAATGAATTTTTTTATAAAAAAAGGACAACTTTTACCCAAAATCAGGCAAAGCAGGCAGGCAGATTGAGTTGCTCGCAGAATCACAGATTCATTCAGAAATCCATCTATCTGCCATTGGCTAGCTCAGTCTGTCACATAAAATTTGCTTGCAAGCAAACTCACAAAATTAACTCACAACACACCATGCATGTAAATATTGAATTTTTTATTTTAAAAAAGAGCAACTTTTACCCAAAATCAGGCAAAGCAGGCAGATTGAGTTGCTCACAGAATCATTCAGTGGTCTATCTATTTGCCATTGGTTAGCTCAGTCTCTCAAATTTGCTTGCTGTGAGTCTGCACTGAATTTGCTTGCAAGCAAACCTTCAGTCCTAAGGGAAGTTTGGCTGTGCTTAAAAGCAGAGCCGAAGATCTAAAGACTAGCTAGAAAGCAAGAAATACAACCATTTCCTGCTTCCTAGATAATCTAAATCTCCCGGCACAGCAGAACAGATGATGGTGGGAAAAAGGAAAAATAGAAATTTAGCAGGCAAATTTACCGGGTAAGGAGCGAGTGGGCAGGAGGGTTCCTGCCAGCTATGTGGGCTGTGCAGCCTTGTGTTTCTGCGCAGCCTGGATTAATTGCTTTGGGGGAGTGCTCTGGGGGTGAGATTTCTCTGTGGCCCACCAAAATTTTCTCATGGCCCACCAGTAGGCCGCGGTCCACTGGTTGGCGACCACTGACTTAGAGAATGCCGTAAAGCGTTATGGAGCGGTAAATAAGTCTAAGTGCTATTGCTATTGATAATTAAAAGAATACCATATTAGAAACTTTTAAACTGAGTATTTGGCTGGCAAGTTCAGATTAGTGCCTGTCATCAATTTGCAATATTGGAGCTGCCTTATCTTTTCATTAACATCTCATGGATAATCAGGGGTAGGATTCAAATATTTTAACAACCGGTTCTGTGGGCGTGGCTATGTTGGTGGGTGTGGCTTGGTGGTCATGTTTTTGGCTGGGCATGGTCAACTCAATATCACTCACATCGAGGCACGCATTTCCTCACCTCGCCTCTCATGACTGTGGGGATGCTGCAACAGTCGTAAGTGTGAAAAATGGTCATAAGTCACTTTTTTCAGTGCCATTGTAACTTTGAATGGTCATTCTACACAAGCAAAGTACCAGCAAAGGAGGGGGGAAAAACTCCAGAGACGTTTCTGAGACAAAAAGTCTAGTCCTGCCAAGAACGTAATAAGGGTTAACAGAGAGGCAGTTTCTTTAAGCAACACCAGAATGTTTCCTTCCTGCCTTCCTTACAGGATTAGGCCAGTAATTTCTTCTAACAACCGGTTCTCCGAACTGCTTGGAATGTTAACAACTGGTTCTAGCGAATAGGTGCGAACTGGTAGAATCCCACCCCTGTGGATAATACAGGATTCTACTTTGTCCCTATGCTTCAGGCCGAATTCCGTTTTTCTTCTTTGTTTTGTTAACAGTCCATCTTTCTTTGTTTTGTTCGCAGTTCATCTTTCTATCCTTGTTTCAGCATGCCCATCAATCTTATCCCATGTACCTCACCTGTCATTTTCTCATATTCCTGCCTTTCCCATTAAAAGTTTTTGTCTTTTGCCTAATACTTCATTCTCCGAGTCCTGTCCAAAACTTTTTACCTTTGACTGATACTCTCATTTCAAATTTCTGACACCTTTGCTGATTTTCTCCAGTTACTTTTACTCACCTGTCTTTATCTTCAATTGCTTCTTTGCTTGTTTTTAGCCAACCATAGTTTAATGAAGTCTTTTTCAAACTGCACCCTATAGAGCTGCTAGATTTGGGAGATTCTGTGAGTTAGCCCTAACATACCTGCTTAGCCTCTTTGAAATTGTTGAAGAGAAAAGGAGGTGACATGGACCCCTGAAGTATGCTTGTGATTTTTTTTAAAATTTTTCCCTAAACTAAGCCCTATATTTTGTCTTTTATAGAGAACGTGTAAGCAAATGGTACTTGCAAGCCATATTAAAAAATATTGAGGCATGTGAGCAAGTTACTCTGTGTTCCTACATTTTGCCCTTTTAAAGAAGCTATAAATTTATATTATATTTTCCAAAATTCCAAAACATAATATAGAGCAGCTGTGTGGCAACACCCAGTTGACTTTGGATCATCTTAAAAACCTAATCTTGGGTGGACCTGACTATACTTGGATGGAAAACTACTAGCAAATCTTTGAGCTTCAGGCTAGACGGGAAGTTTTTTTTTTAAAAATCCCAGAAGGCAGCAGTAGCAAATCACTTCTGTATTGATTCTAGGAAAACTAGATAGATGTGCCCATAAAATCACCAGGAATCTAAATAGACTACTAAAAAGGAAATTTTACATCACTGAAATCAATTTCCTAATTGCAAATCTGTTGGTTTATTAGACCTGAATTGTTTGTTTATTCATGTCAAAAGCATCACAATTAAAATAAGGCATACTATTTGACATTAAGGTACAAAATACAAGGTTTAAAATGTGTGTACAAATTAAACATGTTGCCAGAAACTAGCAACATTGTGTTCCAATGCATGGCCATGTACACTGAACAGGACCTAAATTTATAATTTTGTACTCTTTAGTAATATTGGCAGAAAAATACACTCTTAAGGTTTTTGTAAAGATTGAGGTTAAGGCTGTATTTTGATATGAAGGTTAACTCTGGTTTACATAAGAATTAGTCTCGAGGTTGCACATTCCATTCCACCACGTTTCTCCAGAGTTAAACAACTACAAAAAATAGCTTGAAACTTCCCTTGGCAGAAAAATATTTTTGGATTCAAATGTAATTGGTTAATGACAATTATTCGAGAAGTGGAATTCATTTTATATCATAAAAAAAATCTTCATCTTCCACTATAGGTTGGTCACAACAAATGTCAGCCTTTAGTAGACTATGTTCTTGAAAAGCTAAGCAGAATTAAAGTTACAAATTCCACCCCCCACCCCCCCAAAAAAAATCCTAAAAGAACACAAAGTCCTTTTGTATTATTGCTAAGATTATAATTATACAGCCTCCAAATCTAGATAAAGCATGTTGCTCCTGTTTTGTAGTTAGGTTAACTTCTTTTAGCAAGCTGATAGCAAGGCTATCTACAGTCAGGTCTTGTGGTGGTCTGATGAAGGAAGCGATAAGGGATCCTAAGGCATTTATTTATCCCAATTTGGCCAGCCAGTAAATCGTTACTCATTCAGAATACAGAATAACAGAATTGGAAGGGACCTTGGAGGTTGTCTGGTCCAATCCTCTGCTCAGGCAGGAAACCCTAAACCAGGGGTGTCAAACTTGATTTCATTTGAGATCCGTATCAGGGTTGTGTTTGACCTTGGAGGGGCAGGGGAGCATGGCCAGCTTGACATCACTCGTGTCAGGAACACCTGTGGTGGCCCTGGTAAGGCTGGGAGATCCACTTTTGCTAGTAGTTTGTTTTGCTAGCACTCTACCAGTGAAAATAGAGCTGGGGGGGTGTGTGTGTGTCCCCCAGGCTCCACTTTCAGCTGGGATGGCCTCCTGCAGTGTCTGCCAGCAAAAATGGAGCTCGGTGGGTGGAGCGCATGTGGCCCTTGCAAGCTTCGTTTTCATTGGCAGAGCGCTGCAGGAGGCCGTCCCAGTCACAAACGGAGCTTGGGAGGGCCAAGCTCTGTTTTCATTGGCAGAGGCACCACAGGTTGGTCCTTCGCTGTTTCCAGGGTGGCCCTGCCCCCCAGATCTAAGCAACCCACAGGCCTTGAGTTTGACACCCTTGCCCTAAATCAGTTCAGTCACTCAAAACTGTGTAATATGATATGTCCGAGGGCCTTGTAAAAGTAAGATGGGCAAGTATATAAATCAAATAACGAAATAAAGAGCAAGTAAAGGTTGTTATGTCAATCTGTTTCTGTGTTCAGTAAAAATGGAATGCAAAGAAGGTTTGATGTGATGGCTCATCAGTGTAACATGGGAGTGAATATTTTGACTTAAATGAGCAGCAAATGTGAGGGAAGATGAGTTTGGAAGGAAAGGCAAAAAAAAAAAAAAAAAAGAAGAAGGAAGAAACAGTACATACATCAAAAATCTGCTGGCTCAGAAGATTGCATAGCTTTCCTAGAATAAAGACTGACACGTTTGAAGGTCATTTCACAGTGTGGTGCTTTAGATTCACAGCAGAAAAAGGTTCTTTGGATATGTGAATGTAGTATCTGTCAGCAACTTTTTCTATGACAGGAGGCAGGTACTTTAAGAAAATGCACAGGGGTGCAACATGGGTGCCCCCATTACTTCTGAAATCCATTTATGTCTTTGCACTGCACAGCTTTGCTTTGCAGAGAAACCATTCTGAAGGGCAAGAATAGGAGCTAGCTCTGTATTGCCTCATTAAAACAAAGAGAGGTTATAACAGGGGATTGTTAAAACTTTATTATGGATTACCTAATATACCAATAAACAACAGCGACCTTTTATCTTGTGCTAACGTGAGGGGAGCAGGAATGCATTTATGCGTGTCTCTGACTTCCATTCTTTGCAGGTCTTTTATTGCAAACTAATGGATGAAGCTAACCGGGGATCATTTCCAGCTGAAGTTGTTAATAAAATATTCTCCAATATTTCATCCATAAATCAGTTCCATAGTCAGTTCTTGCTACCTGAGCTTGAGAAAAGAATGCAGGAATGGTAAGCATGGTTGTAAATTGTTGAAGGACAGTTTGAAAAATAACATGAACATCATCCCCCCATAGAAGGGGAACCCAAAGAAGCATTTTACCTTGTGTAATTGAGATCCTTAAAGATTCTTTGTGAAAAAAAAAAACTGGAAGTATAATATCCCTTTGCCTTAAAACTTGTCCTTCCATATGTGCAGATATCAAAAATATATGGATTGCAATTTTGGAGCAGGGTGAGATCAATCTGTATTTGTAGAATAAAAAAGATTCATGATGATTTTGCAATAATTAATACTGATTTTAGGATAGGAAACAAAAGGATTTCTGATTGTAAAAGATCTGCTGTTATCTCAATGCCTTTTCAGAATCAACCAAATCTTAACTCCCCTCTCACTGTGTATTGTACAAGAAATTCTGACATTTATTTCTGCTTTTTGATTGTGTGTGGAATTAAGACAGATGTTAAATTTAATTGTGGTTTAAGATTCATACGCCCAGATTGCTTTTTGGCTTGCTTCATTAAAAAAACATTATTCAGAATCATATTTTTCTGAGTGGGTGTAGTTGATAATTACAATCAAGCACTAATTTTCCCCAGATCAGATTTTAGGAAGAAAGGGATACATGGCAACTCTGTTCCCAAACCTTCTTAGCATGGGGTGGAAAACCTGTGGGCCCATAATCCATATATACCCCTCTGAATTCAACTGTCAAAGTTCTCAATAGCAAAACAACTTGATTATTTTCAGCAGCAAGATTTTTATTATTTTTTTAAATTAAGTAGAACACACCTATTTTTGTTTTTTACTTCTTCCCTTGGTCATCCAAATTTCTCTCAATTGAAAACTAGGTCATATACTTCAATCCTGGTCAGTTCACCAATCCCAGTATCCATTGGATGGAAAAATATAGAGGTGGGATGACTGTACAGATTGTCCTTGTGTAATTTTTCCTGTTGTAGAATATTAGTTAGAACTTTGAAACTTGTGTCTCCCTTACGAATGATCATTGTGGCAGATAAAATCTTTCATAAAATATAGGCATTGGCTCCTGAACAATTAGAGGCTACTGTTCTACTGTGGGAGGCTAATTAATTAATTAATAAGATGAGTGCGTTTCATGATAGGCTTTCACTAAAATAAATTATAATCATTACATTTGAGAATATGAATTTGAGTCTGAAAATCCTTCGGCTAGATTATGATTGTCACGCAAAAATAGGCATTATGGAAGACAAACTAATAAAGAATTTACAGTACTAAAAGGCCCATGGTTAGTATTACTTGACTTTTAACACATTATTCATGTGTTGCTGCTTTTTTCCTCCTATTTAGGGACACCAACCCCAGAATCAGTGATATTCTGCAGAAACTGGCTCCTTTTCTCAAGATGTATGGAGAATATGTGAAAAATTTTGACAATGCAATGGAGCTGGTGAAAACTTGGACTGAGAGATCCCCTTGTTTCAAATCCATTATTCAAGATATTCAGGTAATATATATGTGTATGTGGTATGTGTGTGAGTGTGAGTGTGAGAAATAATTATTTCATTTTACACACACACACACAACATACACACAAAACCATGTCAATAGCATTTCATTTTGTTGCATGGTATAGTGCCTTCCAAAAACAATTTGGAAGCACAGATAGGTGTCTAATAATCTACCCATGAAATGGTAAACTTAAGCAGGGGTGGGATCCGACCGGTGTAACTACCGGTTCAGTGATTTTACATTTTGCTGCGCTCGTGTATATCATTGTCATCTAGCTGCCTGGACAGCTGAGCAGCGCTGCACGCAGGTGCGCAGCGTTTGAAAAAGCACTTTTTTCCTGCTTTTTTCAACCACAGCTGTGTCGTGCAAAGCAGCTGCAATTGAAAACACAGGAAATAAAGGTCAGGTAAGAGCCCAGGCGGGCAGGTGGGACAAAACAGCAGCAGACATAGAACCGGTTCTATGTATGCTCTCTGTTTGCTGCTTTTCATAGCAACCAGTTCTACAGAAGTGGATAGAACCGGTAGAATCCCACCCCTGAACTTAAGTTGTCTAAAGTGTAGGTCATATGTAGCTCATAAAAGCTAGGAGATCTAAAATTCCATGGAATCAAAATTATTACAACAGTTTTCTTTCTTTCTTCTTTTTCTAGAAACAGAAAGTTTGTGGAAATCTGACATTGCAGCATCACATGCTAGAACCTGTACAACGAATCCCAAGATATGAGATGCTGTTGAAGGATTATTTGAGAAAATTGCCTGCAGATTCTCTAGATTGGAAAGATGCTGAAAGTAATATTTGTGGGCATTGTGCATGAAGCAAAAGAGGAACTATCTTACAGCTTGCCATTTTCCTTTCGTTGTCAGGATGAAAAGAAATCTTATTTCTTTTTTTTTTGCATTTCAGTTGTGTGCTGAAATACAAGAGAAAATAAGTACATCAGCATATCAGTATGCACTTTCTTGCATACTGATATGCTGGAATAAGTTTTAAATTGTGATGAGTATTGCTGTTGTCTTTAACAAGTTGTAATTTTAAAGATATTCTTTTTAAATTGTGGTTTTCAGAAAGGGTTTTCCATTTTTTTTTCAAATCATTTCATTCATTTCATTCTATGAATGCTCACAATAGTTTCGTGCAAACGTTTAAATAAGGGATTGGTTTGTTAACTCAAACCACAGAAAGATATACGTTATGATTATTATTTTTTCCATAGGTCTATTTCCTCAAATTAATGGACTCTGTTTTTTTCTGAAATTTGAATAAGGAGGTTAAGATTTGTTTTCCTTCAGCATAGTGGCAGGGCTGGTCATATCCTTGCCTTTAATTGACCTCTGCAGATTTCATTCAGTGTCAAAAAGACAAGCATAGCAGTCATTTTCATACATATTTCAGTTTGAAGTGACTGAGCTGGCAGTGACAAGTTGAATTAATAACTGGATTTGCATTTTACAGAGCAGAAAAATTATTCTGCCAAGGGCTTGTTTAATGCTTCATTTCAGTAAAAGATGCATTATCATAACCATTTAATATTCAAGTTTAACATACTAACGTTGGCTGCAAGAAGTCTCTGTTGCTCTGGCTTTTTATTTTGTTCTGATGTGAAAAGCTAGTTCTGAGGAAACTTGCTGTGCTGTACAGTATTTGGCTATTTAATTGAACTTAGCAGCTATTTTTTTCTAAATACAGGTTATAAGCAAGTTAGCTTTGAAAATATTAATTTACATATTAATTAGGGAATGAGAATTAATCTTTTTAATTTACCATTTCTTCCCTAGAGTCCTTGGAAATTATATCCACAGCTGCAAGTCACTCTAACAGTGCCATCCGGAAAATGGTGAGTAACGTATTTGCCATTTTCTGTTTGCAGAATCTGCATTTTAGTTATTATTATAGTCGTTTTCAACTTACCACTATAGCTGAGCCCAAAATTTCATTGCCAAACAAGACAGTTGCTAAGTGAGTTTTGCCCCATTTTATGTCCTTTCTTGCCATAGTTGTTAAGTGAATCTGGCTTTCCCAATGACTTCGCTTGTCAGAAAGTCACAAGGGTGAGCACATGACCCCAGGACACTGAAACGATCATAAAGACATTTGCCAAGTGTCCAAATTTTTATCACGTGACCATGGGGATGCCGCGATAGTCATACGTGTGAAAAACGGAGATGAGTCTCTTTTTTCAGTGCCATTATATCTTCATGTTTCCTCAGGATTAGAAAAGCCAAAATATTGGGTCACCTACAAAAACAAGATCCATGACAAAATCAGGAGCAAGCATATTTGCCAAAACAAATGGCAATTGCATTAATTGCCCTTGTGGGTAGTGTAGGAACTTGTGGGAAAACAAATGTAATATTTTAGTACAAATAGTATTTCTCACACAGGCATCCATAAAATTGATAGTTGTCCATGCAATTTAAACACAGGTAATCCTTGACTTACAACTATTTGTTTAGTGACTATTTGAAGTTATATTATATACCTGCTATCAGTGAACAGAGTAGCTACACAATATACCATACATCTTTTTTATGTGTTATATTTATAGAGTATGTTTGTGAATTTTTGAATCAATCTGTATAAATCTTTATAAATATAGATTCTATATAATTCAATCTATATAAATAAATGAATTATCTCCTTCTTGTTTCATCCTCATCATAACTGATGAGGCTGTTGGTGTAGAAGAAGAGCAGGCAGAGTTAGGTGATGGTGGTGGGATTAAACATGTTATCAGTTTAGAGTCCTTACGTTGCCACAAACAATCCAAATTCAGCCTCTCTTGAATTCCTTATCTGCTGCCAATTTAATATTGAACTTTAGATGACTAGATTCTTATGTATAGCCTTTTCATAAACAACTGCAAGCAGCTTGCATCAATGTTGTCATTTCTTTTATTTTGATGAAAAAGGAAAATTTGAAGAAGTTACTAGAGGTGTATGAAATGTTAGGAGAAGAAGAAGATATTGTCAATCCTTCAAATGAACTGATAAAAGAAGGGCAAATACTTAAGCTTGCTGCTCGTAACACATCAGCTCAAGAAAGATATCTCTTCTTAGTAAGTATTTTACTCTGACTTGGTACCATTTTAAATGTCTATAACACTAGATTTCTATATTTGTGCAGGTGAAGGGGAAGTGCTATTTCAGTGCTGTGGTTTTTCCTACAAAGAAAGATTTCCAAATTGACTTTCTGTAGTTCTTTTTTGAGTACAGTGTTCCTAATTGTTCTTAACATAACTTGTGAAGCAATGCCAAACAAGAACACGGTTTCCTCCTAAATAGCCTTATACAGGACCAGGAACATGGTTGATACTAATTAGGACTAATGTTGATGCAATAAAAGGCCGAAACACGGTAAAATGATAAAGGACATTTTTGTATACTGAGAAAGGAGACTTCCTGGTTTGCAAGTGGAAGTTTACAAGAAAGCAGTGTGGAGCATTTGTGTGTGTGGAAGAGATGCTAATACATTCAAATTAATAAATACTAGATTAGTAAAAGGATTCCCTTGCAATTGTCCACCAGGCTAACTTCTCTTGATCCTATGTCTCTTAACTTTGAATGGAGAAGTAATGAGTGGTATGTTTAAGTAGTACGTCTTGTGCCATAGGAGGAAGAATGGCAAAATCTGGGGGTAGTGCTAAAAGAGGGATCAGCCTAGAATCCCTATATAGCCACAAGCAGACTAAGCCCAACCTCCCCCCTTGAATTCCATGGATCCTTATTTAGCTCCAAGCAGATGCTAACTGTTAGTTGAGAAGATTCCTGTGCATAGGCATGTGTAGCAATACATCAATTTAATTGGACTTTCATGTGTGAACCCACGCCTGATATGTGCCCACCGAAAACAGTTAGTTTGTTAGTTTCAAAAGTATTTTCTAACTATTTTTTTCTGTCTTTTGTGAAGAGGAAATTATTTTTTTTATATTTGTATTCCATTTGTATTCTTCCTAAAAGTCATGTTTATATTTAAAGTGGGATTCAACTCAGTCAATTTCTAGAAAAAGTTCATATAATATAGATGTGGTTAGAACAATCTTTTTCTGTGCTTAAAATTGTTCTCAGAAAATATTTCTCACACACTGCACTCAAAATCAGCTTCCAGGCAAGAAACTTATTTTTGTACTTTCAAAACCAAATAACTTTTTTTTTTAATAAACATTAAACAAAATAACAATGGGTTCATTACTTTAATGGTTTAATTCTTTATGAAATGTGTAATTAGTTTCCCAAACTCCTATTTTACATACCGGCAAAAGTAGCATTTCTCTCAGGTTGTACTATACTATATGTTGAAAGTGAACTATAACAGTGAATATCCTGGAGGATTGTAGCAATGTTAGTTGTGCTAACCACTTATTAATATCTTATTTTTCTTTCACTAAGATACAATTTTCACATTGCAAAGTGAATGTTTTTTGTTTAATATAACCCACTCATTACAATTATGGATACTAATATCTTTTGATAATTGTTGGGGTTTTTTTCCAGTTCAATAACATGTTGCTGTACTGTGTACCAAAATTCAGCTTAGTGGGATGTAAGTTTACAGTCCGGACAAGAGTTGGCATTGATGGTATGAAGATTGTAGAAACCCACAATGAAGAATACCCACACACTTTTCAAGTGTCTGGGAAAGAACGAACTTTAGAGTTGCAGGCCAGGTAAGAAGTGAATTTAAGACTTGCTTGAAGCGTAGTCACACTAAAGTAAAAGTTTATAGATTCCTGGAACAGAGATATTGAAAACCGGCGTATATCTGATTTGCATTTGGAAAGCACTGGTTCTTTTCATTCTTCTTAGTGAAATTCAAAATTCTTGAATGAAGGACATGATGGTTTTTAAGCCATCGTTTTCAAACTTGGCAATTAAAAAATGTGGACTTCGACTCCCAGAATTCCTCAGCTAGCATGCTGGTAGCATTTCCCAGCTGCCTTTTGTTGATGTTTGACCTTTCCCCTAATTTCGTCAGCTCATAGTTAGATACAGTTAGCTCTCAACTTAAAACCATGGTTTAATTGTTTAATGACCATTCGAAGTTACAACAGCACTGAAGAAAATGACTAATGACTGTTTTTCACTCTTACAACTGTTGCAGCGTCCCCATGGTCACATGATCAAAATTCGGGCACCTGGGATCATATGATCACCATTTGTAACCTTCCCATTCAAGCAAAGTCAAAAGGGAAGCTAAATTTGCTTAATGGCTGTGTAATTCACTTAATAACTACAGGCATTCACTTAAAATGGTTGTAAAATGGGATCAAAACTCATTTAACAACTGCCTTGCTTAACAACAGAAATTTTGGGCTCAATTGCGGTCATAAGTTGAGACATTCCTGTACGGTTAAATGAACGTCCCATTCAATGGAAATGTTGAACAGAAGTGATCAAGTTTCTTGCTTGAGAATATAGAGATCCCCGAATAACCTGTATTAAAATTAGAAAAATGACTTGGAACATTCCACTATTGATACCAAATAAGTCCTTCTGGTAGATTGAAGAAATATACTAGATGTAGTTAATGCTATTAATTGAATTCTGTTTGTATTAAATACCATGGAATAATAGTTAATAGTCACATTTGTTTATTTATAATTAGTAGATTGCAGGATGCTTGTCTCAGTGATGTGAAGAGTTTCTTTAGGGTCCTTCCCATAGTACATAATCTTTTCTGCTTTTTAATGAGCACAAATAAAAATGCTAGGTAAATGTTTGTAACACCAGCCACATCTTCCTTCTTATACTATTGAGTACACACCTTATACTGATAAACAGTAATCTTCTTCATCCCCATAAAAATTGCATTAGTTTGCCCTAAGGATTTTCTTTACCAGAAGAACTTGTCTTTGTTTGATTCCACGAGAGTGGAAATTGATGCTTGTGGTTATAAGGTGCATTTTGTTAGAGAGATGATTGCTTCCTGGTGAACTCATAAAGCCATTACTGCAACCCTGTGAGAAGCAGAGCTTAATGTTTGATTAGATCAATTTATACAGTCTCTGTCTGTACTTCTGAGTCTTAAATTGCCCAGGGTATAACTTTACTAAACCTCCCATGTTTTAGCAGTTGACACAGATGGATAAGATTTATTTTTATCATGCAAGTTACACAGTCTGGAATCATGGAACGGACCCATTGGTCTGCTTAGTAGTTACTCTGATTCCGCGAGCAATGAACGCAAAGGCAAGTCACAGCCTTATGGTTTCCTTATTTGATATTCTTAAGGTAAATATGACATCCTGTAGGCATTCCTATAAACATAGGTATCCTTTTGATTATATGAATATTTGATGGCAAAACCATTATTTGGAAATAGCAGGGCGCAATCAGGATGCAACTCTATAAAGCAGCTACTATGTGCAACGATCGGATCCTTGCATATTCCAAACATCTTTTTGCTTTCAAATCTGCACAGCCCTAGTAAAATAAATCCTTCCATTCTGCAAACTGAAAGCATTAGAGCACTAATTTCCAGGCAGTGCTATATTATATTAAGATCGCCTGCAGTGGAACTGTTAATGTTTCGCTACAGAAGACTTAATATGGAAGCAATCGCTTGAGCCCAAACTTGCATACAACTTAGAGAGGGGACAGGAATGGAGAAGAAACTGCTAAGTGGCTTTTACGTAAATGACCTACTGGCCACAACTATGGGACTTCTTTTCCAGATCTGCTTTTAGAAACAATTTGAACAATGCACTCTTAGGCAGTGTACAAGTTCATGAGATTAGGTTTAGCTGCGGAGTTCAATTTGGCAGGAAAATGATATATATGTAGTGACAAAGTTTACTTCTCAGTACAATTCAGATCCAGTAGCTACAGCCTTAAATGACTTTATTTCTGAAGGGTTTAAGGGAAGCTCAGAGAGGAGAGAAATCCAGCCCTGAATTGAGCAGAACAATTTGTGAATTTTTAATGGAATTTGCATTCACACATGCAGAGGGCATTAGAGACATTATTCTGGTATAGAAACATGTGAAATGTCATTCTGACCCCATTTCAAATGTCATATTTGAACAAAGGTTTAATCATGCACCAGCTTGAAAGGCATCAGCTTTTGAATCCAGAATCCCAATTATTTTTTCTTCTTCTTGCAATGAGACATTTTTAATGTTTTCAGTACTGTACCTTTTTATATGCTTCGGCATTTGTATGTCTTGCCATGTAAAATGGCGTTATAGCTTATTAATAGTTTCTGAACATGCTTTTAACCATTATCTCCAACTGTGTTCTTTAGCTCTGAACAAGACAAAGAAGAATGGATAAAGGTAAATAAACCTGACTTTTTATATCCAAATATGCAATAAATGTGCTAAGATTGATGCTTTATATGCAACTAGGCAACATGGCTATTCCACTGCTGCTGTTGTCACGATTCTTTTGAAATCAAACTTCCAGCGTTTGTTGATTTTAAAAGTTAGTTACTGGAATCAAGCATGCATCTATCTCTAGTGTTCATTTTGTTCTGACATTCAATCATTTACTCTTCCGTTATGTTAAACTCGGTCTTCTTTCTCCATTTCATTGATTCCAGGCTCTTCAGAGCACTATAGATGCTTTTCAGCAAAGAAATGAAACATTCAGAAATGCAATTGCAAAAGAATACGATGACATGCCTATTGAGGTTTCTGTAAGTTGAGTGTAACTTTTGGGTTGTGTATACTCCTGTCTGTTCAGATTAATTCAAAAACCCATATCAGAAACATCCTGAAAATAAGTCATGAAACATATTAGTTTGCCATTAGAATGGCTTTTCAGTCATGTAAACGCTCATATGGGCTTATTTTTATTCACTGTAATGTACCAGTATGGATGGACCTGTTCAGTGATGTCTATCCAGGAGATGGACTGATTTGCCAAAAGAAACAGAAGAAGGGGGTGGATGGAAGCAGGCATAATAGGAGAGAGAGAAGAGATAGTAGTGTGAAATTTAGCAGGGCAAAATGTTATCTGTCATCTACATGGCAAAGGTATTTATTTATATATCATTTCAATTAATGAGGCTGCCCCAACTTCAGACTAACTTGAAGATTTATTACAGGGGTGTCAAACTCAAGCCCCGGGGGCTGGATCTGGCCCACGGGGTGATTAGATCTGGCCCACAGGGCCGCCCTAGAACAGCTAAGGATTGGCCTGCAGTACCTTTGCCAGCGAAAACAGAACTCGGGAGGGCTGTGTGCGGCCCTCCCGAGCTCTGTTTTCACTGGCAGAGGGTTGTAGGAGTACGTCGCAGCCAAAAACAGAGCTTGGGAGCCCATTTTCACTGGAAGAGCACTCGGGCCATCACAGGCGCCCCCGACACAAGTGACATCGAGCTGGCCACACCCACCCTGGCCAGAGCCTTCCAAGATCAAACACAACCCTGATGCATCCCTCAATGAAATTGAGTTTGACACTTTTGATTTATTACATCTACCAAATTATTACTTCTAACAAAAAAACAATATTTTATAGGGATGCTATTATGTATGATCAAATGATTGGATTTTGTTATCCAGGGCTTTACCAACTCACTTTCTTTCTTCTTGAGCTGTCTATTCTTTGGTTGAGTCTATGAACCAGTTTGCTCTGAAGTAGATTTCTCTAAAATTATTTCTTTGATGCTCATATTTGCATGAATTCATATTACAAAGTCATTGTCTTGAATTGTATTTATTTTTCCCCTGCCTAGTATTGACGGTACAGAATTATCCCCCAACTTAATTAAAATAGTTATTTTGAGCAAAGAACACTTCTTTTGCTCAAAGCGGGAGAGTTATTTAAAGAAAGACCAATTAAAGACACCAAGTAGAAAAAAAGTATGATATAATCTTTGAAATGCCTCCGAACATAAATGGATGGTGGAGGGAATGGCTGCTACAGGGATTTTTAAATCGTGGCTATGATCAGAAGCAGTTCAAAATGATCATTCACACAATTTCTCAATTTGTACATGATTTTATTATATTGAGGTAAAAGTCAAGACTGTGAGATCAGACGAGCATATATTGTGTGACAGTCTATTGTTAACAGGCAGAAATAAGTTATAAATCTTTCGTTCCAATTACTGTTTAGTCATGATAAGAATTACAAGAGTTTTATTTTGTCTTTTAAAAACACTGTGACTTCCTGCTCAACATTTCTCACTCCTTTTTCTATTGTAATTATTTAAAAATAAATAAATCAAAGGATAGTTAATATTTGGAAAAGAAGCATTTCTTTAGGAAAAATGGAAATAATTCCAGAGGGAGACATAAAGAAATGCCAGAGAGATATATACTATAATTAAAAGTCTCTTCATTATTCAGTCAACAAACAAAACATAAAAAGCATTTAAATTTAGACTTCATTTCTAATTATCATACAACATAGCTGTCTTTTTGGTTAATCTGTTTGTTCTGATCTTTGCAGAAATTCTCTTCATCCCCTTCTTGCACACATAAAGAGGCCTATGCTCATTTGAATATCTTTCCCTGGTTTAAAGTCTACTGTAGTTATGAGATTGAAGCCCAGCTGCCATGAAAGTTAGGGTCCAAATATCTATTTCTCTTTTCTTTTCCTGCAATTGCTAGCAGAATTTATTTGTGTATAGCTATTTTAATCTTTGGCATTCCCTGCCTTTTCCTACATCACTGGATTTGGTTATTGCTAGCAAGGGAAAATGCAAAGCATCAAACTAATCTTGAATGTCTTTCAATCCTAAATATGCAGCTGTTGTTTATGGTAGCATCCACACCTGTTATTTAGTTTTAAAATTATCCTGCCATTCCACTGGCTTTTCAGAAAGAGAGAGTTAATTACCTTTTCCTCTAATAATGTTCCACAATTTATTTATTTTTCTTCCCCGGAGACTGCTGAGCTCGGGAAGAGAGCCCCAAGATGGATCCGAGACAATGAAGTGACTATGTGTATGAAATGCAAAGAGCCATTTAATGCACTAACAAGGAGGAGACATCATTGCCGAGCTTGTGGGCATGTAAGCACAAAGCCACATCTGCTGGTTAACAGTTGCTGAAGCTGCCAAAAACTTGTTCAGAAACTCCATCTGGTGATTGCTTTTAAATGCTGTTTTGTTTCAGCTGACACTTGCCATGGCAGAAACTCAGAATTTGTGAACCAAATCTGTGCCCCCTTATGGCCAATGCAGGAAACATTTCTGTAAATGGTTCCTTTTAACAACTGGAATGTTAAATTCATTTTACATTTCATTTTATTGCGTTTCTGGTGTCCTTTATCAGATCTCTATTCTGAGCTGCCATAGGCTATTTGATCCTCTATTGCAGGGCTGTCAAACTTGCAGCCCATGGGCCAGATTCATCACGTGCTGGCCACGCCCATGCCCACGCCCGGTTTAGCAAAGCGGAAAAAAGTCATGTGATGCTGCTATGATGATGTGAGTTTGATACCTCTGCTCTATTGGAATCTCTAATTATTATCCTTTAATAACAGTCTGCAATCATTCAGCTGGTTTTAGGTTATCTTTGGAAATATTTTTCAGGGTACCAATTTTAATCTCTAGTTGAAAGAGTTTTATTTCAGATATGTTTAATTGTGTAATTCATAATGTTAAGTTACATATTCATATTATTTGTGCACAGCACTTTTAGTATACAGTGTACAGGTGAAACTTGAAAAATTAGAATATTGTGCAAAAGTTCATTTATTTCAGTAATGCAACTTAAAAGGTGAAACTAATAAATGAGATAGACTCATTACAAGCAAAGCAAGATAGTTCAAGCCGTGATGTGTCATAATTGAGATGATTATGGCTTACAGCTCATGAAAACCCCAAATCCACAATCTCAAAAAATTAGAATAGTATGAAAAGGTTCAATATTCTAGGCTCAAAGTGGCCCACTCTAATCAGCTAATTAAGCCATAACACCTGAAAAGGGTTCCCGACCCTTTAAATGGTCTCTCAGTCAGGTTCAGTAGGAAGCACAATCATGGGAAAGACTGCTGACCTGACAGTTGTGCAGAAAACAATCATTGACACCCTCCACAAGGAGGGAAAGCCTCAAAAGGTAATTGCAAAAGAAGTTGGATGTTCCCAAAGTGCTGTATCAAAGCACATTAATAGAGAGTTGTGTGGAAGGGAAAAGTGTGGAAGAAAAAGGTGCACAAGCAGCAGGGATGATCGCAGCCTTGAGAGAATTGTCAGGAAAAGGCCATTCAAAAGTGTTGGGGACTTTCACAAGGAGTGGACTGAGGCTGGAGTCAGTGCATCAAGAGCCACCACACACAGACGGATCCTGGACATGGGCTTCAAATGTCGTATTCCTCTTGTCAAGCCGTTCCTGAACAACAAACAATGTCAGAAGCGTCTTACCTGGGCTAAAAAACAACAACTGGTCTGTTGCTCAGTGGTCCAAAGTCCTCTTTTCTGATGAGAGCAACTTTTGCATCTCATTTGGACACCAAGGACCCAGAGTCTGGAGGAAGAATGGAGAAGCACACACTGCAAGATGCTTGAAGTCCAGTGTGAAGTTTCCACAGTCTGTGTTGATTTGGGGAGTCATGTCATCTGCTGGTGTTGGTCCACTGTGCTTCATTAAGTCCAGGATCAATGCAGCCGTCTGCCAGGAGATTTTGGAGCACTTCGTGCTTCCTTCCGCAGACGAGCTTTATGGGGATGCTGGCTTCATTTTCCAGCAGGACTTGGCACCTGCCCACACTGCCAAAACCACCAAAACCTGGTTCAATGACCGTGGGATTACTGTGCTTGATTGGCCAGCAAACTCTCCTGACCTGAACCCCATAGAGAATCTATGGGGCATTGGCAAGAGAAAGATGAGAGACATAAGACCGAACAATGCAGAAGAGCTGAAGGCCACTGTTGAAGCATCCTGGTCTTCCATAACACCTCAGCAGTGCCACAAGCTGATAGCTTCCATGCCACACCGCATTGAGGCAGTAATTGCTGCAAAAGGGGCCCAAACCAAGTACTAAGTACATATGCATGCTTATACTTTTCAGAGGTCTGATATTGTTTTATGTACAATCCTTGTTTTATTGATTGCATGTAATATTGTGGATTTGGGGTTTTCATGAGCTGTAAGCCATCATCATCACAATTATGACAAATCACGGCTTGAACTGTCTTGCCTTGCATGTAATGAGTATCTCATATATTAGTTTCACCTTTTAAGTTGCATTACTGAAATAAATGAACTTTTGCACGATATTCTAATTTTTCGAGTTTCACCTGTATGTATTGACTGCCCAAGTCTAATGACACTTTGGTGAACATGTTCGTATACTCAGAAACAAACTTTGGGATTCCTGAATTAACCACAGTATCAATGTTCATGATATAGCTATCATGAACTTTGGTATTGTGGTTAATTCAGGAATCCATGAAATTCAGTGATGGAAGAAGTAAGGTTCTAGATTTAGGCAAGAAAGACAGAATACAGTATATGTGGTACCTTGCTCAATAGTACTAAGAGGGATCTTGGAGTCCTAGTGGACAATCATTTAAATATGAGCCAACAGTGTGCTGCAGCTGCCAAAAAAGCCAACACAGTTCTAGGTTTCATTAACAGAAGGATAGAATCAAGATCACATGAAATGTTAATACCACTTTATAATGCCTTGGTCAGGCCATACTTGGAATACTGCATCCAGTTTTGGTCACCACAATTTAAAACAGATGTTGAGGCTCTAGAAAGAGTGCCGAGAAGAGCAACAAAGAAGATTAGGGGACTGGAGGCTAAAATACTGTATATAAAGAATGGTTGCTGGAATTGGGCATGTCTAGATTAATGAAAAGAAAGACTAGGGGAGACATGATAGCAGTGTTCCAATATCTCAGGGTCTGCCACAAAGAAGAGGGAGTCAAGCTATTCTCCAAAGCATCTGAGGGCAGGACAAGAAGTAACGGATGGAAACTAATCAAGGAGAGAAGCAACCTAGAATTAAGAAGAAATTTCCTGATAGTTAAAACAATTAATCAATGGAATAACTTGCTTCCAGAAGTTGTAGGGGCTCCAACACTGAAAATTTTTAAGAAGAGATTGTACAACCATTTGTCTGAAATGATATAGGGTTTCCTGCCTGAGCAAGATATTGGATTAGAAGACCTGCAAGGTTCCTTCCAGCTCTGTTATTTTGTTATTCTTTGAGTGATGGTACTAAATACCTGAAGAGTCCTGTTTTAGAATATTTGATGGATTTCATGTTTGGTTACGATCATTGTAGAATAAATTAATCGTTTATTAAAAATCTCACCATGGCAAATGGTGTTTGGAAATGATGTTTGGAAGCAAACTGATGTTCCAAAGTAACTCAGTTTTTCCTTATTTTTCTTAAGGTGGTTTGCTGGAAATGTTCTGATTACAAAGCTCATCTTGAGTATGATGGCAATAAGCTGAACAAAGTCTGTAAAGATTGCTACCATATTATAACAGGGTGCACTGATAGTGAAGAAAAGAAAAAAAGAGGAATCTTGGAGGTATAAAATTTAAAGAATTAAAGTGTGTTGGGTCTTGTTTATTGTTTATTTTACATTGCTTTGTATCTCTTGTTTGTTGTTGCCTGTCCCATTTTATTAACTTAAAATATTTTAATAAAATGGTTTATTAATTTAAAAGTAAGATCACACATATTGTAATACTGCATCCAGTTTTGGTCACCCTATTATAAAATAGAGACTCTGGAAAAAGTGCAGAGAAGACCAACAAAGATGGATAGGGTGCTGGAGGCCAAAACATACAAAGAACTGGGAACATAGGCAATATAGAACATAGGAACTGGGTATGTCTAGTCTAGTGAAAAGAAAGACTAGTGGTGACATGATAGCAGTGCTCCAATATTTGAGAAGCTACCACAAAGAAGAGGGAATCAACCTGAGGGCACTAGAAAGCAAGACAAGAAGCAGTGGATAGAAATTAATCAAGCAAACGACCTAGAACTAAGGAGAAATTGTCTAACACTGAGAATAATTGACCAGCTTGCCTTCAAAAATTTTGGGTGCTATACCAGTGAAAGCTTTTAAGAAGAGCCTGGACATCTACTTGTCTGGAATGGTATAGGGCTGTGATGGCGAACTTATGGCACGTGTGCCACAGGTGGCACGCAGAGCCCTCTCTGCAGGTACGCAAGCCATCACCCCAGCTCAGCTCTACTGCGCCTGTGCACGCGCCTCCCACCAGCCAGCTGGTTTTTGGATCTCTGCCACGCATGTGCGGGGGGGCACATGTATGGGGGTGTGAGGAGCGTGGGGTGGTCGCGTGAGCATGCAGGGGGTGGGTGGGGGGAGTACTGGGAGGCACCCCCTGCACTCCCTGTTTTGGGCCTAGTAGGCCTCCCTCAGCCTCCTGGGAGCAAAAATGGGCTGCGGAGGGACTTTTAAAAATTGCATGCAATAAGGAAGGCACTGATGAGAACTAACTAGCCAAAGGCTAAATGTTTGTTTGCATGCAGAAAACCGTACATGGCTCATTTATTGTGTGCCGAGAAACCATTTTACAATACGCTGCCTCTGACGGCATCCATGGAATTGACCTAGCTAATTTGTACTAGCTAAATCCCAGCATTTTTGTTGGTCATAATAGCTGTGCACAGTGTGAATTGTAATTTAGCACTGTATGCAGAAATGCAAAGTCTCCACCTTCTTGCTAATTTTGGTTCCTCAATCATGATTCTTCATGTATTGAAAATGACAGTATTTCTTGGATTTTCAGTGGACATAGTTTTGACTGCTAAAGGTAGAGAATAGAAAGGAGAGAAAGAAAAGTGACAAAATTTAGGAGAAATGGGCAGATTTTACTAAAACAATTCCATCCAGCAAATAAACTTTTAAGTTTAAGTTTTAACAATTCAGTTGAAGTTTCCAATGCTGCTTGTTCTATCAGCTATTTTTAAAAGCCCATTATAGTGTCTTTATTACACCCAGTGATTGTTTTGGTGCAGTAAACCCAAACCAACTGCTGTTTAGAGGCAAACTTACTCATAGTAGTTTGTTTACTTTGTGGAAATTTGACATAGTTACTTTTAAGAAGCACTTTGGAAGAAGCCAGGGGTGTAGGGGGGAAGTGTAGGGGGGGGGGGAAGCCTTTCGTTATGAGCTACTTTATGAAAGTTCCCTTTTTGATTTCTAAATGGCACTTTGAGTTAAAATGAAGAAAATGTACCCTGGAACTGATTGATTATTAAATGTTTTGTAAAAGGTCAGCAATTCTTCCATTTCGTTCTATTTCTGCAAGATTACATTGCTTCCATGTCATGCTTCTTTCATGAATAGTAAAATACCAAGCCGGCAGTTGGGTGTAAGATTGTTCTCTTTCATTTTTGTTACTTAATTTGCTATGATTTTATTCCTTACCAATTATGATGTGAGAATTTATGAACAATTAGAATGATCTTTTCGAATTCTTCAACCACCTTCCTTTTATCTCTACAGATTGAATCAGCAGAAGTGTCGGGAAATAGTGTGATATGTAGTTTTCTACAGTATTTGGAAAAATCTAAAACATGGCAAAAGGCTTGGTGTGTGATACCTAAACATGAAGCCCTTGTTTTATATATGTATGGCGCTCCACAGGTATGTTAAAATAAATGGAAGCCAGATCATAGTGAAATTCTTTTCTCTCCTTAGGGCAGGAGTGTCAAACTCAAGACCCCTGGGCTGGATCCAGCCTTAGATTTGGCCTGTGGGACTGCTCTGGAAACAACGAAGGACCAGCCCGCAGGGCCACTGCCAGCAAAAACAGAGCTTGGGAGGGCTGCATGTGGCCCTCCCAAGCTTCGTTGTTGCTGGCAGAGGGTTGCAGGGGGCTATTGCAACTAAAAACTGAGCTTGCAAGGGTCATGGACAGCACTCCCAAGCTGTGTTTTCACTGGCAGAGGATTGCAGGAGGCCATCGTAGCCATAAACAGAGCTCGGGAGCCTGTTGTCACTGGCAGAGCATTTGAGCCACCACAGGCATCCCTGATCTGAGCGATGTCAAGCTGATCATGTCCACCCTGGCCATGCCCATTCCGTCCCCCTGAGGTAAAATACAACTCTAATGTGGCCCTCAATGAAATCGAGTTTGACACCCATGGCTTAGGGCAGTAGTGCTAACCTTTTTGGGCTCCTGTGCCAAAAATTGTGTGTGCTTGTGCGCACAATCCCCCCACCCCTCCTTAACTGCACTGCACCTCCCAGCTGATTTTCAGCATGTTTGAGGCCTTTTTCAGCCTCCCAGAGCCTTTGCAGGCTGAAAAATGGGCCTGTTTCGTCACTTCTGGTATTTTCAGAAATATAGGAAGTGATGAAGGGCCTATTTTTTGCCCTGCAAAGGCTTTCCTCAAGCCTCTGGGAGGCTGAAAAAGGCCTCAAACAGGCTGAAAATCAGCTGTGAGGCGCTCACATGCGCATTGAGGTAAGTTTGCTTGCGGTTCGCGTGCTGGCACAAATGGCTCTGCGTGCCACCTGTGGCACGCATGCCATAGGTTCGCCATCGTAGCCTTAGGGTTACATGATATCCTGCTTACCTTTCATTTACGATTTTGCAACTGTCATTCCTATTCTTTCTGAATTGTATTCTTCCCCCACTGTATGTAAAAGAAGAGCTTACACAATAACAATCAGAACTGGCTATGACTATTGTGTATCTCTCCTCACCTTCTGTTTATAGAGGGTGATATATGATACAAGTAGTCCTTGACTTACAACCATTCATTTAGTAACCGTTCAAAGTTACAACGTGCTGAAAAAAAGTGACTTATCACCATTTTCCACACTTTATAACCATTGCAGCATTCCCATGGTCACGTGATCAAAATCCAGACACTTGGGAATTGGTTCACATTTATGATAGTTGTAGTGTCCTGGAATTATGTGATCCCCTTTTGCGACCTTCTGATAAGGAAATCATCAATTGGGAAGCCAAATTCACTTAACCATATTACTAACTTAATGATCGTGTTGATTCACTTAACAACTGTGGCAAGAAAGGTAGTGAAATGGGGCAAAACTCACTGAACAACTGTCTCACTTAGCAGCCAGATCAGATGAGGAGGAGGCATGGGAGTCAGGGTCACCATCAAGGCAACCTGACTGCTCCAAGGGTGAAGAGGAAATGGAGCTGTCAGAGAGAGAGAGGGAGGGAGGGAGGGAGGGAGAGAGAGAGAGAGA